ATGGGTGTAGAGGGGGAACTGAGCAAATGCACCAAAATGTGCATTTGCATGTTTATGGGAGAGAGTAGGTGCCCCAGTGCAATTTTCTCCATCAAGCTGAATCTTGTATCCTGCTTTGAAGTTGGCCTGATAGAGAAGTGTGTACCCTGGCTGCACATCCTCTTTTAAGTTGTTTGTATGACTTCAGATCAACCTGAGTTTAAGGTAACAAAAAGGAGGTCAGGAGGGTAGAAGCAGCTCTGTCTCAGCTCTTCTGGGTCTCGTTGCTACTTCTCTAGGTTGAGCATAATAGCAGTTGGAGAAGGATTTTGAGGAGGGATGGGGTATTAGACTCTGGGTTCATGTGTATGCACATGCTCAGTGTTTCAAAGGAATCCTCTGTCTAACAAGAAGGAAATTAAAAGTAGAGCCCAAATACTGAATTGCTGTATGGTATTGCATGTGAACCAGAATTGGCGTGGAGCCACAGTGCATCAGTGGCACTTGTGCTGACCTTAGAGAAGAATTTTTCTCCCAAATAATGTGGAAAGCAAATACTTACTAATACCTGTACAAATACTACTTCTGTTGTTGGTCTAGTTATTAGTATTAGTCCAGTTTGATACCTTTATCAATAAACAGATGTCTTTCCAGGTCCAGAAAGGACTATAGGTCAGGGTGCAGTCATAATATTAAAGTCTTGTTATTCTCACTTTGTAATTAATAGGATAAATAGCTGCTGTAATGATACTATTTAATATCATCATTTTTGATATAAGCATGATGTATATTGCAACTCTTAAAGTGACTGAACTTAAGGTCACTCTCTCTTAAACATGGAATGGTTGTATGAATCACCTTAAAAGATAGTCTATTTATTGTCTTTTAGGCTCTGTCAGTACCAGGAAATGAACGGCATTGATTGTCTCATAAATGTTTCTTCTACTTTTGTCATTCTTGTATTAAGCCAGTATTGAATGGATTGTTTGTCACTGTAGGTAATTAATACTTACTATCACTTAGTGCTCCTAAAGATATGCTTTATTCTGAATCACCCTACTTTTAAATTGGAGTGTACACACAAAATATTTAAGCTGGTGTTTTTTCTTTTCTGTTTTTCACCTTTCAGATAGGATACATAAGCAATGTGATAGCTGGTGGTGACAACTGTTTGGTCTTAGTAGACAAAAACGTAATGGGATATATTGCCAGTTTGCATGAGTTGGCTTCTACTGAGAGAAGGTTTTATTTCAAACTGAGTGAGATCAAATCTCAGGTTCTTAGACCTCTTTTAGGTTTAGGTAAGAACTTCTTTTAATATTTTCTTTTATATTATTTCCCCTGTGTTCCACAGCAGATTGTTTTCTGCAAAATCTAAAAGTAGTTATATATATTTTTGATAAAGCTTTTTAAATAAAGGTCTTACTCTTCTCCCCTATTTGGATGAACTAGTGAAATACAGCTGCATTATGACATCTGCATAATGTTGTTAGTATTTGCACTTTCCTGACTGTTCCACCTGAAATAACTTAATTATTTTTTACTGTATTCAGTCTAAAACTGTTGAATTCCTGGTTCTGGATAATGTAGCCATGAGGTGAAATTGCTGTTAAAACATCTAAACAGCACCTTGTGGTAATTCTCTTTTGTTAATGGGTGCTGCTCTTTCATAAGGTAAGAGAAATTGCTTTCTGGTCTGTTACAGATAATTTGGGGAATGCAAATACAATCCAGTTGTTGCAGGAAATGGCAAGCAGGTTCAGCAAGCTGTGCTATCTCATTGGTCAACATGGAGCTTCTTTAAGTAGCTTTCTTCATGGAGTAAAAGAAGCCAGGAGTTTGGCCATCCTGAAGCATTCCAGTCTCTTTTTGGATAGTTACACCGAGCAAGTATCCAATTCCCTCTCACCTCGAGTCTCTGCAGGCTTAATCTACTGACCATAACAAGTTAGGGGAAAGTAGATCATGTGAAAAGCTACATAACTAACTTGTGCAAATTGTATTCTCGCTATTAAAGATGTATGGAGAGTTTTACACAAACCAATTAATTTTGTAGTGAGCTATGTAATTCAAAGTCTTTGCCAGTGGAGCATACTGGACAGCTGCAGCTTCCCTAATGTAGAACTCTACATACAAACTCATCTTTGGTTGCTGTATATATACCTGTAAAAAGGTGACATGTTTATTACTTAATAGTAAGGTTCTTGTAATATAATGCAGTAGAGTTACTATGGCTAAGCTACTAAATACATTTAGTTTATTGGGGCTACAAAGTACATTTCAATAGTAATTAACTAAAAGATTGTCTCCCAGAAGGACAGTTCTGCCGTGATATCTGTGCATTGTGCTAATGGCAGCAGCAATGTGGAATAGTAACACGTATTCTATGCTCCATGTGGAATGTGAATCCTAAGTGTTTCAGTAACATCGAGTGTTTCAATGTTTAATATTTTCACAAGTTCTTAGACTACTTATAGTAAAAGGTATTACAGCTCTCAAAGGTAAACTGTTGGAAATGAAAGCAGTTGCAATTTCCAGATATATTCTTATTTTGTAACTGAAGCTCTTCCCAATTTTAGGTATTGTACTTCAGTAACAAACTTCCTTGTAATGGGAGGATTTACACTCCTTGCGAAGCCAGCAATGTAAGCAAACCTTTACCTTCTCAGGAGTTTTTGATCTGTACTTTAAAGAATCGTGTGTGTGAAGAACATGCAGAGACTTGGTCTCAGATTTCTTGAGTATGCTAATTCCTTCTCTATCAGATGAAGAAGAAGTTACTTCCTCTCAAATACGATAAAAATTTAGGTTAAAATTCTGCTAAATGAGTTTGGTTACTTTATCTTGAAGGTGGAGAAAGGAGGAAAAAGGCATAAATTACTCTAAATTCCTTGAAAGAAAAGTAAATAGACTTCAGATAATGATTTTTTAAAAGCTTAGTCTTGGGTTATATTTTCATCATCTATTCAGTGCTTGTTAGCATTTTATTCTTTCAAATGTCAGTATCAGGAAAATACAGAACAGCAACTTTTCCTTTAAGAATTAGGAGGAGTGGATAATGTGGATTTACTTCCATTTGAATTCTTAAAAGTTTATGGAAGTGCTTTAAAGTGATGCAAAAATAACATTTCTGCATGTGTGTCTTCTCTGCCTCTCAAGGTTGCTTTATTCTATTTTACGCATAGATGCTCTTAAATATGAGGAGGGAATTGTATCTTAAGGCCTGAGATGGTATATTTGAAGTTTATAGATCATAGAGCTGCTTTTCTCAGTTCAATAGTATTTTTGTCTAGGAAATAAAGTAATGACACTGCATCTTTCACTCTAGTGCTGTGAAGAAGTTGTTGTAATGATGTAATGGGGGTATTTTTAACTTGTCTGAGGAATTGCTGGTTTTCTTTCCTTCCTTCTTTCCTTCCTTCCTTCCTATATTCTGTAATGTGGGAGTAAATCTGTTCCAGCTGTTTATGGAGCACTTTGAATGTAGTATAAATGATGGTATTAGAAGGTACTTACACAAAGAAACTTCTGCACCTGAGGACCAATGCTAAAGACTAAATACCAAATTCCACTGCAGAGACACACTGAGAATCTCTCTGCATTGGTCAAGATTTTTAGGGTGGCTTACAGGAACTCTTAGTGCAAGTATAAGCTTATTTGTAATATGTACTGAAAAATTGTGGATGCTGAAATTACTCATAGTGAATTCATCACATCAGTTGTTGCTGTCAGGTGACACAGCTTTACCTAATGCAAACAGGGTCTCAGGTGAACAGCACTTTTGCTGGGGTCTGAAACTTCAGGGAGGAGATGTCTTGGAAGTTTTCTCTTGTTATTTGCAAAGGGAAGTCAATGTCTTTGTTAGTTTCCTCTCCTTGAGGGATACTCTCTTAAGTCAGTGCTTAATGATGTCAGCCTGTCTTTTATGGATACTCTGTGAATTTTATGGGTATTATATGAAGGCATCAGAAGTAGTCCCAACTTTAAAAAAGTGCTAGCTTCAACAGCAGTCTTCATTGTTGGCAAGTTTTTGGGCACGTCCTCCAAAAGAGTAGGTGAGTGTTATGATTTAGTTGTTTGACAGAGACACCGCCATGTGAGGGTCTCAAAGCACTTTCAAAATGCAAGCCATCCAGATGCCTAAATTTTTAAAACTAAGAAATATGGTTCTCTCTCCAAAGAAGACTTTATTCTTAATGCTTGTTGAACAAGAGAATTCTTAAATATCATTAGCAGACTTAGAAAAGAGATGGTATTTTGATGTGTGAAATGGCATCTTGCTAATTATGTAGGATTCTTAGGGACCCTGCTGTGCAATTCTCTGATCTGTTTCACTGTCCCTAGGGCATGCTTTCTTAGTCTCACCTGATTTTTGCAGCTTGTGGTTTAAATGCCTCCCAGCTGAATATGCCTTAGTGCCGATATGTCATGAGCTAGCACGTATGTGCACAGAGATAGGGTGAAGGAGAGGGAAAAGTCGGTTTGTTTTCCTCTTAATTAAGAAATCCTGGTTTCGTGTGTTAATACATTGTCTTCAGAATCATTTCCCTCTTCTTCTCTGAACTAGATTAGTTCTCCCCCTTGGAAATCAGACTGAGGATTGAACAGATTTCCTGCCTTTCTTTGAGGTAGGATGTAATTTTTCTAGTTAGGGGGAAAACTGGTCAGTTGCCTTGAACAGCAGGGGTGGGGAAGAGATTATTTCAATATATTTAGGGAAGTGCACTGAAACCAAGTTAGGATTCTTTCAGGCCTTCTTATATGAATCAACAGTGTTAGAAACTTAGAATAATGGGGAAGTCATTCCACTTGTTAGCTCTTTTACTAATCAAGTGTTAAAGTGGAAAAAGGCATTTACTCTCCAAGTGGGGCAAGTTGGTCAACTTTTTTCAACCAGTTTAATGACTGAGCATGTGAGAATAGAAGTAAGAAAAGTTCTATGTTGAAGTTATAGAAGAGCTACATGTCTGTACTGCTGTTTTTCCGAAACTAAATTGGGAATAGATTAATAAGCAGCATGTATTGCCTTTATAAATTGTATTGGTGTATGATAATCCAAAAAGGGGCATTCTGAGCTCATTTATGCAAAACATCACTGATGTCTTGCTGTCTTCTTTTTTATTTCTCTACTCCCTCTGTTCCCTAATGGTCCCATCATTTAGAGACTTCTTGAGTAAAAACCAGGAGCTGTTACAGAAACTGTCTGAGAAGAATGAGGAAAACCTCCAGCTAGTGGAAGTTCTGAATGCTCTGTTTTTCATGCCGTTTGGACGACTTCATAATTATGCTAGAACTTTGCTAAAGCTTGCCACATGTTTTGAAGTGGTAAGCTGGCTTTGTTATCTAGATCTGAATAAATACATACATGAAACTTAGGGCTCGGAAGTAACTGCGTGAAGTAAATGCCGGGTAATTAAAAATAGCTTAGTCTTCAGAGAAGCTGCCGCAGGCTTGTGTTCACTGCGAGGAAGATGGTGCACATTTATCTGTGCAGTCTTACACCACACCTGCACAGACCACATGACAGGTAGAAGGTAGAAGCTTGTTACCCTGCCAGAACTTGTTTGTGTGCCTCAGCCTAATTGCAGGTAGATTATTTTGATGTTTGCCTGTTGCTTTTCAGTTCCATCTGGCATCATTACTGTAGCTGCCCTTGGCTGTAATGCTCTACTAAAAATACTACATATATATTAGGTAGACTTCTACCACCCATTTAGATGTATACAATTGCATTCTTTTGAAATAAAAGGTGACAATAAACAGGAACAATAACTACTTGTACATTTATCCCAGTACGGTAATTTAAAGTATTACTCCTGCAATTATTAGCACTACTTCTGCTACAGCTTCTTAAGCTGCAAGAAGGTAGATCATGTAATTGTATATTAATTGTTCTCCTCTTAACATTCATGGAACTTCTGTGAGTTTTAAAGTCTCCCAGCACACCAACAGAACATGTGACCAAGAAAATAACTTACCCTCCACCATTACTTTATTAACCAGACCAACTGTCATATACTTGGTGCTGATTTAATAAAATGACCAGTTTCATTGCAGTTTGGTTAGTGCTGTTGGTACAGGTATTCAGAAACACTCTCAGGTCTGTCTTGTGCCCTCAGGCATCTCCAGAATACCAGAAGCTACAGGATTCTAGTTCTTGTTACGAGAGCCTTGCTGTCCATCTTAACAGAAAAAGGAAAGAAGCAGAATACACACTTGGCTTTTGGAAGACCTTTCCTGGGAAAATGACGGTATGATGACAACTGTCAGTCTTTAGCAGCTTGAATCTCTTGCTGGTAGCGTTATACTCTGTGTCTGTTACTGATGCTGCTGTTCCAGTTGCACTTCTCATTTTTCTAATTTGTGTTGCTGTGGCGTTGCTTTAAAAAGGCTGGGCCTTTACTGTGAAAGACAAATAGCATAGGCCTTAAGTCACAATCAGGGAGAAGTAAGCTGCTGTACATTTGTTTTTAACCCTATCTGTAGGATTCCTTGCGAAAACCAGAGCGTCGCTTAATCTGTGAAAGCAGCAATCGTGGCTTGTCCCTGCAGCATGCGGGAAGATTCTCTGTAAACTGGTTCATCCTCTTTAATGATGCTCTGGTACATGCTCAGGTAAGCTGGCTTATAGCCAGGAACAAAACCTTTTCTCTGTTTCAAACTACATGACCCATTCTTCATACAGTGAAGACAAGTTTTTGCACTGTTCACTGTAATGTTGCTTGAACACTTAAAAGCGGTATTTTTTCAGGTTTACAAGTAAATTTGAAATTATGTACTATTTCCTTAAGATTTGATGCTGTTGCCCTGTGGCTGGCATGGTTTCTGTTGGCTGTTTCTTGGTGCAAGGTGCATGTAAGGAGCCTGTAATGCTCAATTTTCCCCAGTCTTCAAAGGAAAAAAAAAGCTGTTCAGAAAAGTATGGGGCAGGGATAATGGGTCAGTACCCAGTGAAGTTTCCATTCTCCTTCTCCTTGCCTACAGTTCTCAACGCACCATATTTTTCCCTTGTCCACACTGTGGGTAGAAGCTCTTTCAGAAGAAGCTGGTAATGTGTGAGTATTCTTGCTTGTGATGCTGAAAGTCAAATGTCTTGGGAGGAATGGTGAGCATTTTGTAACCAGCTATTGTAAATGAGGAGCAGAATAGGCTGGATGCAGTCATGTCTACCTCTCTGTCTTGTTTCGGAAAACTAGAAGTATTTCTGTGTCTTTAAAAAAAACACAACAACTTAGTTGTATAAATATCAGAAAGAATAATGTGGTCAAGAGGGAGGTGAGTAGCCTTGTCTGCTGCTTGTTTTCACAACTGACTTAAAGTGAATGCTAGCTGGGGAGGGAGAAGGAAGATACAGTATTCATGCTGTAAGAAAACTTGCCTTTTTCAGGACAAAATTTCACTAGATTAAAATACTTCCCTCTATCCCCCCACCCCATGTAGGAATGGATTGAAGATTACAACACCAGAAGAACAGCTTGTTCTTGTTTCTTCAACACCGCAGGAAAAGGTGGGCATAGCTACAAATTTTGCACAGCTTCAGCGATGTGAGTGATTTTTTTTCTTTCCTACTGTGAAAGCAAACAGGGAGATGTATTGCTTAAGTATTCACCAGGAACGAAGCCTTCCTACAGCTTGGTATTCACTGTACGCCGTGCTTGACTGTAGCAGTGCTCCAATTTACAGCGCTGTATTGAGGAGTGCAAAGGAGATTACCGCAGTTGCTGTAAAGGTGAGGTTCAATACAAAGATATTGGCTAAATCCTGTGATGGAACATCTTCTGTTTCAGACCAAGTGGCTGAGGGCAATAAGTCAAGCAGTGGATCAGGCCCTTAGAGGGACTTCTGACTTAATGCTGTATGGAGCTGGTGGGAATGTGCCAAGACAGGAGCCTCCTATTTCTCGCAGTGCCAAATACACCTTCTATAAGGACCCTCGGTTTAAGGATGCTGTTTATGATGGGAGATGGCTTTCAGGAAAACCCCATGGCAGGTAAAAGTGTTTGAATGTACCAGTTGAAAACAAAATGAGGTGGTTGCTGTATCAATAAATAGGCTCACTCACAGAAGTTGTTTGGGAAGTGTGAAGCAAACCAATTATCTTATATGTGTGTATGGCCCTCTTTTTTCTTTTTTCCAGAGGGATCCTAAAGTGGGCAGATGGAAGAATGTACTCTGGGACTTTCCGGACTGGGCTGGAGGATGGGTAAGATCCTATTGCTACTTGCAGAGCCAGGGGGCAAGGAATACCTTTTGTAGCAGGAAATAAGGAAATAATCATAGAATCATAGAATAGTT